AATTTCTCAGTAGTATATGGTGCAGAGTCCAGCTCCTTTCTAAGGTCCTGCCTTTAAAGTTGATCATCAGCGATAGTAAATGTAGGTTTGACCTGGGTGCATGAAGAGATACAAACATGAAAGATCCCAGCTTTGTCATGCCACTTCTTGAAGCAGGGAGCTGTATTTTTACATTGTCCGTGTTTTCATAGCTATAAATGGTATGGTAGGGGCCTGAACCAAGAAGCACTGATGCTTTGCTTTCTGTCAAATGTGCCAGGCTAGTTAATTCTGTAGAAGCTATGAAATTGCAGAATTATTGATTCTGTGAGATAAAGGGTTAACATCTGACCAGTGAACTCTGCATCAGACAATGAGAGGACATAGCTGAAATATCCAGAAGGTTTGTTTTTAGTTGAAGTAAAAACAAGGCTGCTTTCATGGGAAGTTCCTTTAAGATATACTTGTTTCTACCCTGGGAAGAGTTGTACCGAGTTTGTTTTTTTTCTGCAGTTTACATGCCTGTCTGCCAGTGGCTTTTCACTCTTATGTTTAGTATTTTACACCTGTGAAAATGGGGTGTGAAATCCATCTGTGAGCATGATGGTGGTCCCTCCCTCATCCAGATGTATAGAGCTCTAGAGGTAATAGCAACAATCCTAGGCCTGAAAGAGGGAAGAATCAAGCCTTGGTTCCTTTATTCAAGCAAGTGCTGTGGAAGAAGGAGTGGAATTTGCTTCCTTAGTTTAACTCTTAAGCACGTAGTTGAGATTGTATTTAGAGTGGGAGATTTAAAGCTATTTCAGAAGGAGTGCCACTCCCGTCCTTGCCCCCAGACTCCCCTGGATTCCAGTAACTCCCCTGTATAGTCTGGTATCAGGAGAACAGAGACAGAGGTATGAAAACAAGCAAGAATGATAAGCTTGAGATTGTAATTCCTATTCCTGTGGGGAATACATTAACCTCTCACATTCAGAAGCAGAATAATCTCAACCTGCAGTGTAATTGGGAAGCATTTGAGCAAGTTGATGTGCAGAGATGAGATGCCTATTGTACTTGAGATATTTTGTCAAATGCTGGTCTCTGGAGCAGCAAAGTTGTGTTTCTGGAGAGGCTCTAGTAGTCTTCATACGTAGCTCAATTTGTCCAATATGGGCTTGTGCAGCCAGCTTTTCTGACTGTTTACACCAGTATGAGAATGACTTGTAATGTAGCTGATCCAGTAGATAACTACAGATTTGGATTTCTGTAGCTCTTCCACACTAAACATTTCTGCAGTATGTCCTTAAAGTTCACTTCTGTGGCTGTTATGAATTTAGTTAAAGTAATGGTCTAGTTAAAAGACAGGTTCTATTAAAAGGCAGTTTTCTGTTTCCCTCATCTAATTAAATGTTTGCTCTGTACAGTGTGTGCTATATGATAAATTCAGATGGTTTATAATTGGGGCATTAACTTGCAGATTTTTTTGTCTCAGACATATCTTTCAAGTACCTTGCACACTTCTTCAAGTAAGAGCAGAACCAAGCTCTGCCATGAATTGAAGGGAAAACAATATTCATTTTGACTTGTTTTCAGTGGCTTTTTACATTAGGAAGGTTTCCTTATGGAAAAGATGCATTAGTGTGATCTTAACTCTTTGTAGGAATGGAATTGTTCCATGACTTCCTTGATTTTGGGTTCTTTTTCACCCCTCCCTTATTCTTAGGAAGAGACAATAATGACAGATTGTTTTATCTGTGATTGTCTTACTGGATTTCAGTCCTGTCAGTGTTGAGGTCAGTAGGACTATTCAGGTGAATTAAGCTATTCAGCTGCATGGGCATTTGTAGTATTTTAGCCTTCTGTCATGGAAAACAGTGTGGTTGAACCTGGACCTATGTGAATAGGTATTGAATTTTTAATGCTAATATGGAATAATTAAATGTAATCCCCATTAGAGCTTGACTGGCTATTTAAGTGTACCTCTAAAAAACAAGGTGAAACTTTTCCTGTATAAACCTCTGCAGTGATAGCATCCACATTATTCCTCATCTAAATGCATCTGTTTAACTATATTCTATAGTATTTATGTCCAGCATAATTAAGTCCAACATATTTCATATTTCAGTCAGTTTAGAAACCAGTTACCCTGGTAACCTGCTGTTTGCAGGCTATTAGAAAATAAAGCTTACAGTTGTTGTTTTGCTTTGTCTGTGTAGTGTGGACAAAGTCACACCTGAAAACTGTAGTTGCACAAGTGTCATGGTTTAAGCCCAGCCAGCAGCTAAGCCCAATGCAGTTGCTTGCTGGCTCTCCAACACCAAGACTGGGGAGAGAATTGGAAGGGTAAAAGATAGAAAACTTATGGGTTGAGATGAAGACATCTGAAGAGGGAAAGCAAAAACCCCATGCACAAAAGCAACACAAAACAAAGAATTAATTTACTTCTTCCCATGGGCAGCCAGATGTTCAGCTATCCCCAGGAGAGCAGAGCCCATCACATGTAGTGGTCACTTAGGAGGACAAACACCATCATTCCAAATGTCCTCCCCTTCCTCCCCCCACTTTATTTACTGACATGATGTCATGTGGTCTGGAATATCCCTCTGGTCAGTTGGGGTCACCTGTCCTGGTTGGGTCTCCTCCCATTCTCCCATGTACCTCCCAACCCCCTTGCCAGTGTGGCAATATGGAAAGCAGAAAAGGCCTTGGCTCTGTGTAAGACCTGCTCAGCAATAACAAAAATACCTCAGTATTATTTGCTGTTAAGTAGCGTTAAGTACAAATCCAAAACAGACACATACCAGCCATTGTGAAGAAAGTCAACTCCGCTTTGGCCAAAACCAGCATAACAGGTAAACCACGTGCTGCTCTGTGCTACTAAATTGCCTTTCAACCCCAGTTGTATCCTTTTCTTGTCCTGTGAGCAAAAGGCATCTTCATGCCTTCCCATAAGGTTTATATACACAGTGATACCCCTGAGCTTTCTTTTCTCCAGGTCATACAGTCCCAGCTGTCTGGGACTCAGCCCCTGCTACTATATAAGATGCTTCAGTCCCAGTGATGGTGTCTTTGTGCTGAACTTGTTGGAACAAATCTGTGTCTCTCTTGTACTGAGGAGCCCATAAAGCTTCATATGTGGCTTCTAATGCTAAGCAGGGAGGAAGGATCACCTCCCTTGACCTGCTTGGCAACACTTTGTGATGCAGGTGGGGATACTATTGCCCACCTTTGCCATGGAGTTGTATTGCTGGGTCTTTCTCCACAGAACTGTCTCCAGCCAATCAGCCCCCAACATATGCTGGTGCCACAGATTATTCCTTCTCAGTTGCAGGAGTTTATATTTCTGCTTGTTGAATTTAAGATTCCTTTTGTCCCATTTCTCCTACTTTTAAATAGCAGCACAACCATCTGGTTTGTCAATGACTCTTCACAGTTTTCTGTTGTCTGCAAGACTTGCTGATGAAACTTTATCCCATTATCAACCTTGTTAATTAATGATGTTGAAGACTGGTTGGTCCTGGTATCAGCCCTGGGGTATAATGCTATGACTTGCCTTCTAGTGGATTTTCTGCAGCTGATCACAAGCCTCTGGGCCCAGATACTCAGCCACTTTTTACTGGATTTCACTTCCATTTATGTAACCCTTTTTTTGTCAGTGTGTTTATGAGGATATTATGGAAGACCACAATAAAAGCCTAACCAAAGTCAAGATAAGGAATATCCACTGCTCTTCCCTTAGTCACTAAGCTAATCAGTTTACTGGAGAAAGTTACCTCAGTGGATATGCATGATTCTCCCTTTGTAAATTCATGTTGACAGCTCTCAATTGGTTTTTTGCCATGTGTTTGGAATTGGTTTCCAGGGTTAGTTGTTCCAATCACCTTTCCAGAAACAGAGGTTAGGTTAACCAAGCCTGCAGTTCCCTGGGTCATCCATCATACCTTTCTTGGATATTTGCTCTCATCTTGTTAAGAATTTCTCCCAGTCATTGAGACCTTTTAAAGATTACTGAGAGTGTTCTTGCCAGGGTGTCAACCAGCTCCCTCAGCTCTTGTGTGTTCAACCTCTCAGTCCCCAGTGGACTCAAGTATGTCCAGTTTGTTTTAATTCTCCTTTGCTTAGTCCTCCTCCACTGAGGGTATGTTTTGATCCAGATTTTTCTGTAGTCTCAGGGGCTTGAGGTTCCGAAAGGCCTGTCTTACTGATAAAGACTGATATGAAGGTTGTGAGTACCTCAGTGTCATCTGTGTCCTTATCCATCAGGTCCCCTGCCCCATTCACCAAGTGGGCTGAATGGGCTGGCAGAATGAAAAAGTGAAGATCATGGGTTGAGACAAGAGCAATTTACTGAAAACAGCAGTGAGATAAGAAAACAAACAGTAAGAGCAACAATACTAGGAAAAGAGAGAGTGATGCACACCAAAGAGCTTGACCTCAGCCCCCCGCCCCGAGACCCTCCCTCCAGCTTGCTACCACCAGCACCTCCCTGTTCCTTCCACCGTGTTTTCTTAACCAGAAAGGACCCTTTCTCCCTGGAAGAGATTCCCTTTCCCCCACCACCAGCAGTGACATGAGGTGGTGTACAATAACTCCAGGTCCTGGCCATGCCCCCTACTGCGTACTGCAGAAATTAACTCTGTCGTGGCAGGGACAGGACACACAGTTTTCTACTGGTATTTTAACTGCAAATGGTGCATGTGACTAGACATACCTGATTAACACTGTGGACTGTGAAATGCAAAGTATCTTGGAACAAATGGTCCATTCTCATCTTTAGGGCCAGAGAATGTATTCTGGAGAACTGATCAAACAGTTTGAGTGTAGCAATTCTGCAATCTCTATTCCCTCTGCTATTTGACCTGATGGATGTTTTCAGCAGTCAACATAATTTTGTGAAATAATATCTACTGCTCAAACTCTTCCTTATAATCTTATTAAGAGAAAACCAGATTATTTTATGAACACTTTTTTTTCAGTTCAAGGTTCATAAAAATGCATGCTGTTTTTAAATTTGCATTTCCCTTTTTTCTTTGCTGCAGAGTCTCAAAGTTACACAGAAGCCATTAACCTCCCTATGGTGATGTCTGACAGCACTGTGGGCACTAACTCTTCTTTGCTGAGGACCAACATGCAGACTGATCCCTCCTTTCAGCGATGTTTTGCATCTTCATGTACTGTTGCAAGTAGCAGTCCTATCGCAGGGGCAGAAAGGTAGGAAAATACATTATTGTTTAATTCCCATAATGATAGTTTCCAGCCAAAATGTTATGCTTGCATCTTAATTGCAGATCATTTTCTAAGAACTTCGAGGTGGGTTGTGGCATTTAATGTTGATGTTGTCCATTGGCTGGATTTTAACACATACACAGGTGTTACTTTCATGTCAGGGACACAAATAGCTTTGAAGATAAGTGGGAAGACAAAAATCAGTTATGTTATTTGTGCTAGCACAAGCTCATATATATTTTTGTGTGTGTTTAACTGGCTTCTCTGATGTTTTACTTAAAGCCGTGTCATGAAATTTCACATTGGAATAAGCCGTATATGAGAAAAGGGGAGCATTCTTCTCACTGTAGACATATGTTTTTAGTCAATAAATGTCAGTAGATTTGCTTTGGTGGTGTATAGCTGATTCCCTTTCAACTGCTCAGCAGGCTTATTATTTTAATTATATTGTGGCAAACATGTAGGGCTCTGGAAAAGGGCATGAAGAGTATAAATGTACAAAGCAGGCCTTGTCCAAAGGAGCTTACGGCATAAGCTAAGAAATGGCAAGAAGCCGCAAACAAACAAGGAGTCCCTAGTTACACAGTGTTCAGAAGACCATAAAAATGTGTGGTCATTAATGTGTGAAATTAGCTGTGTGTTATATTTACTCAATAGAAAAGGTGGTACATGACACTTGAAGAAGCTACCTTCTCTATCACTCTGCAAAAACATTCCTTTCTGGTTAATTATCCTATTCTTGTTTTTGGCTATTTGGCTTCTTTTTCACAGTAAGTATTTGGGAATACTTCTGGTTTGAGTGTCAGAGTGTGAGTACGTCAAGTATGTTGTTACCTATGTATCTTTTATTTATCTTCCAATCCAATTGGTTTCATTTTCAGTCAGTACTAAGACTGCGAAAGAATGCTTTGGTTTTGTGATTATGAGTGTGAACTGTAAGACAGAACAAAATATGTTGGTATTTGCTGCAGAGGAGGCAATGTAACAATTACAAGTGGATATGTATTAAAAGCTTATCAGGCAATTCAGTCTTTATCAAGTTTACATTCCTACGTCAGGCTTTATCTAGAAAATTTTGTTCCCTTCTTTCTAAATATTTTTTCTACAATTTTTTTATTTCACCTAGCAGATAGCTACAGCTCCAGAGGTTTTTTCCTTGCAGGGATGACTTCTTCATTTTGCTTACCTTCCATTTCTTTAATGGCCTTTATAATTTGTGCTGTTTAAATCTACTAGCATTCATTTCCATAGCTCCCTTTTAATTAAAAATCCTTTCTTTTTTTGATATATATCTTACGTCAGCTTTTTCCCTTTGCATTTTCCAATGAGTTTGTTCTCTATGGATTCGGTAATATTAGTAATATTTTCCAGCTACAGCCTAAGGGCATTTCATTTTTAGAAGCAAGAAGACAAACTTTTATCAGATGATTTCATCAGAAGCTTAGTTTATCTTGTTTGGAAGGACATTTCTTATATTTTTTACTTGAACAGGTAGAATTGCTACCCAGTAGAAAAATAGAGTATTTACTGTTGAAATATTTAATTCTATAAATCAGAATTTTTACACTGTCAAATAAATTGACGACTGGACCTGCCTCCTTTCTATTTTTTTTGTGTTTGTTTGCTTGTTTTTGTTTTTGTTTTGGGTTTTTTTGGGGATTTTTGAATATAAATTGTATTAAAATAGACCTGGTCACAAGTTATTCTTTGTGAACTGTGTGTATTCTTACCATTATCATGGTTATGGATTTATTGTGTGATGGTGCATAACCACCTCCTCAGGCCATTTCTTTTCAATTTTATTTTGGTGAGGATAAGACACTCTGCATGTAAGAACTGGTATGGCCGTGCCAGGTTTCTTCTGTAAACCTCTACTTCTATGCAGCTTTGGCATAAGAAATTGTTGCCTTCTGCTGCTATTTTTCAGGTAGCACTTTAGCTCATCAGGACCACTGTATGTGGAGCAATGCTGCAAACAGCCTTGCTAAACTGATTCATGTTAAAACTAACCTCCTCAAACAGGGAGAAGTAGAAGTATTTTTAGCTGTCACTAATTTCATGGACTCGTTTACATTGCAAACTCAGAAACTATCCCATCAACATGGCTAGGTGGAGGGTGAGATAAAGCAGAACATACATCGAAGAAGTTACTGGTTAGGGTAAGACTGGAATCCCTTGATCCAGCTGCATTACCTGGTCCAGGATGTTTTCAAAGGGCACCCTTGAGGTTTTTATCCTGGGTGTGATATTTCATTGCTTTCAGTGATCACTGAAGTACAAGTTGTACAGTAACATTTTAAGGGAATGATTTGGCTGTTGGGTTTTTTTTTTGTGTTCAATTTTTGACTTTTTTTTTTTTTTTTTACAGCTCTTCTGCAGCAGAATGTTCTTGGCTTGAAAGCAGCTCTAATGCTTCCCTGTCAACCCAGTTTTCAATGGGAAACACCAGGCAGCCAGGAGGTTACCTTGTGCCCTCTGAATTTTCAAGTGCTGTGCAGGATGTCTCTCTCCTGTCTCATTTCCAAACTCCAGCACTGCAAGTTGTCACCCTGAGCAACCTGGAGAGTTCACCAGCAGAGCCACACCAAGAACATGCTATCAGCAGCAGTGCCCGTGCCTACCTGAGCTATGGCGGTACCAGGGACAGTAGCTCCCCCCAGGAGGAGACACAAGCTACCTGCATAGCCAATGCTAGCACATCTAAAACCCTGAGCTCATCAGTGGCAAGTGCTGATGACAATGACTTTTTGACACAAAACTTTCTTACAGTGGCCTCTGGACACAACAGCCAGAACAGTGCAGTTCCACATCAGCATGGAGGGAGCCTACATGCTCAGCCGCCTCTTCCAGAGAAGAAGAGATCCTCTGAAGAACGTTCCTTTGCCTCTGTGTCACCTTCTTCAAGTGGCTTCTCTAGCCCTCACAGTGGAAGCACAATCAGCATTCCCTTCCCAAATGTCCTCCCAGATTTCTCAAAAATGTTAAGCCCTTCCCCAGTGCCAGGTAGGTTCTGTATCGGAGAAATACAAAATACGTTAGATTTTATATGAGTTTATAAAAAGAGTTTTGGGGATTTTAAAAGTGGAGAGGAAAGAAAAAGTAGTGGAATGAAAATGGCACAGAGGACTTGAATGTTTGTAGTAAATGGTGCCAATTCATTGCCTTTGGATGCATTATTCAGAAAACAAGGCTTCAGATTTCTTCCTGTGCTTCCTCAAAGTCAGCCATTGGGCAGCCTACCTTTTCAGCTGTCAGATTACAGTGGACCAGTGTTGAATCCAGTTTCTGTTAAAAGGGGCTGGCTTCTCTCTGCACCTTTTAGAGTTGTGCCAAAAAAAGTTAAATATGTGTATGTGCGTTCGTTGGGCGCTGTTGAGAAATTTGTATTTAATACGGCTTTATAATTAAAAGTTTTTAATAATTTATGGATTTTGCAAAATGAAACTTTGAACATGCTTTCAGAATCTTAGTGTGTGTTATTATATTTGCTGGTTCTAAAACAGCTCAGTTTCTCTAAACTATCCTAATGATGAGTTTTTTGAGTATTTGTGGTGATTAGAAATTGGAAAGAAAAGTAAAAACACTTCAGTATTTAAAAAAATTCTTGACTTTTTTTCCCTTTTGTTTCACAGAAAACACAGCTGATAAACATGTGACCGTAAAATTTGTTCAGGACACATCCAAGTTCTGGTATAAGCCAGATATTTCAAGAGAACAAGGTAAATAAATTGATACATATTCTGACATACCTATTCATAGAAAACCTAGCTGGTGAACTCTCAATTTTAGATTCATACCTGATCACTAAAAAAAATAGAAAACCTAGGAGGGCCACAGGCAATTCCTCTTAGTTTCTTTTGTTGAAAGGCTGAGTTTGAGTGAGGAGGGCAGTCAAATAGTCCTGAAAAATACTCAGTTAATCAGACAAATTATTAGCCTAACTGAAAGAACTATGAAGTAATACAGATCTGCCTGCGGTAGCTGCTGCAAATGCTCTTTGTTGTGAAGGTTCAGATTTTTGAATGGCAGATATGCACGAAACAATACCAAACAAGCTCTCTGCTGTCTAAAACCTTTAAAGTGTGCTGTTCTGACATGATCTCTGAATAATTCATTAGCTAGGTAATCACAAAAGCATGCTCACCCACCAGTCATTTTGTAGCCTGAATTTCAGTGTCAAGTGACATACTTTGTTTCTTAAAGGTCACTACTGTAGAACAACATCTTTATGATGTATGATGAAGATAAAATACTTCCATATGTAGATGTATTATTCAGTCAACTGAAGAAAGCTTTTTTTTACCTATGTGAACACGAATACTTACAAGAACCTGGAGTACTGTATCTGGCTTACAGGAAAGACATAGACAGACCTGTTGGAGCGAGTACAGAGGAGGACCACCAAACTGATTAGAGGGATGGAGCACCTTTCCTATGAGGAAAGGCTGGGAGAATTGAGATTGTTGAGTCTGGAGAAAGGAAAGCTTCAGAGTGACCTAATTGCAGCCTTCCAGTACCTGAGGGGACCCTAAAAGAAAGATGGAGAGGGACTTTACAGAAGAACATACAGTGACAGGAGAAGGTGAAATGGTTTCATACTGAAAGTAAATTTAGATTAAATACTAGAAAAAAATGCTTTATTGTGAGGGTGGAGAGGCACCGGAATAGACTTCCCAGAGCAGCTATGGATGCCCTCCATCCATGGAAATGTTTAAGACCAGGTTGGATGTGGCTCTGGCCTAATGAAAATTTGTTTCTGTTCATGGCAGGAGCTTTGGAAGTAGATAATCTTAAAGGTCCATTGCAATCCAGGCCATTCTTCCATGATTCTATGAATTTATACACTTGTCCCTGCAATAGTGTGTGTATATATATATATATCCTGCTGGGTGCTTGTTACAATCCACTAATTACAGAGGAACAAAATGATCTCTCTGTGGATTGTGGATAGAAACTTCAGGTTTGAATATTCTGTGAAATGAGACTAAAACCAAGCAAGGCTAAATGTTGATATCAAAAAATTGATATATTTTATTTAACAGTAAATGAGAGAGAAAGAGAAATAGAAAAAGAGGTTGTGGGGGGACAGGAAGAGTGATAGGAACAGAATAATTAGAAATGTGTCACCCATCTGTGAGTTCCAAGATTGATACAAGTTGGGCCAGGTGGTAATGCCCAGGTACATCCCCTGAAGAAGGACAAGTTTGATACTGTCTCTTGGAAGATTCTGTATCATGTGTAGTGCTGTGGTGCAAGGCCTCAGGAATGAGTCTGGGGAGTGCTTTGGGTGTCTTTGATGGATTATGACACTTCCTCAGCTGCCCCTCACATGAGTGTCCTGTGGATGTGGCTTTCCTGGGGTGGGGGCTTTTACATTTGGGCCAGTTTGTGTAATGGAGGGTGAATGTTCACTGCCTCTGACCAGAGGTCATGTTGTACACCCAAAACTATCCTCCCCTCCCCTTGGTTGAGGAGGAATCTGTGCAAACCTGGCTGCAGATAAGCCTGTGGGCTATGGCCTCCACCCTGAAGCCAGCTGGGGATGATTTTCAGGACAGCTGTTGAGATTGGCTCTCCAATGAATGCATCCTTCTCCCCCAGCCTTATCCATTTCATCTCAAACCTGAAATGACTGGAAAACAGTGTCACTTTTATCTTATCTCAAGTTCTTTTAAGTGGCTTAACTCATATTTCAAGGTTTCAGTTAGGAGGCCCATTCAGGGCAGGTGCAGCTTTGGTGGTGCAGCTTCCTTGATGCAGCTTTGTTATACATTTTTTCCATAATGGGCAGAAGTCCTTTATAACAGTGATTGAGCCATGAAATTATAACATGTTGAAACATGAAACATGTTCAGTCTCTGACAGTGCTTTCCAAATGCAATTGGTCTGACTGTGCTTGTGTTTATAAGTAATAATCAGCTATAGTGAATTGTGATTAATGAGATAAGGCAGGATTTTAAACTGGGATTTTTTTAAAATGTGGTTATCAAAAAGGAAGAATTACTAACTCGTTCTGCATTGAGAAGGATGTTCATACTAAACTAAAATAGTGTGAAGGTCAGCTATTGGCACCTATGTCTGTCAAGTTATAAAATTCTCAGATGGTAAGGATGTTCTCTAAATGTGCAGAAAAATACCTGACGTGATGTGTGTCCAGAGAGGGAAGTAGATCTAAAGCAATTTTAAAGCTTACTTCTTGAACAAATGAAACAACAGTCTTCTCAACCTTTTAATATGCCTCTTCTCATCCTTGAAGTGAAACTTCTTTTAAAAAGTGTTTGAGGTACTGTTGCTGAGGAGGAGAGCATTTGTTCTTTCTTCCCTGTGTTTAATAGCTGCTCCTGTGACAAATTATTACTGTATGCCTTTGTATTTAGAAGTGTTACGTACTGCTTAATTGCAGGGATTTGCATATACATCCTTATCCTCTCAAAACAAGACATTTTTGTGAAAAAAGGTTCTTTCATTTGCCATCTGACAGATGAAGAGAATAGAGTGCATACATGTTTGCTTTACTTGCTTTGACAGAAGAGATAATTATGTCTGCATTTTCCGGTTTTTTTTTTTTACTTCCCCTTTTTTCATGAAAAGAACCTTTGATTTGAAAGAACCATTGCTCAGGCCTTGCAAAAATATGCCTTTGTGCTCCATATGCACATAATATCCATGTTCTATGTGAACAGTCAGTTAGAGAGTTTGGTGTCAAATTTGGTCTTTCTCTAGGGTTTCTCTGATGTGCTGATGGCTGGAAATTCTAGAAACAGAGTATACTGGTATACACAAGTATTTCTAAAAAGTTTATTGGGGAGGAAAGAAAGTACAAAGATTTTATTAGAATCAATCATTAGATTAACTTTTTGTCTATTTTCAAAGTAAATTTAAAATTTTGGGCTCTTTGATTTCATAGTCTGCAACTGACTTGTGCAAAGCAGCAGCAATTTCCCTGCAAGTGTTTCCTCTTGGAGAGGACTACATATTGCACTTTCAGAAGAGATTCCAAACTACAGATGAAAAATATTTCAAAGTCAAAGAGCAAAACACTTCCCTTCCTTCCTTTGCTTTAAAACTCCTAAGGCAGTAAGGTGGTTTTGCAGGGACAGAAACCTGGTGGTGGATGAAAATTAATCTGTTCTGCCTGTTGAGGCTGAATAGGAAGTGAAAAACAGTGCTGTCTAGACAGTATTGGAATCACAGAGAGCTGTGCAGTCTTTTAACAAATTGACAAAATCTAAGCAGAAGTAGGCTTGCTCTTGCACTGGTTCTTGGGATTTTGGTGGGACCTGAGTGCACTTCTCAGTTTAAAAATCAGTAAAAGTCGGGGTTTTGTACTTCAGGCTTCTTTTAAAATAAGTATCTGTGAGATTTGGACAAGGTATTTCCACTCAGGTCCCCCAAATATGCTTGATTGTATTTTGTTTTATACATTATACGTTTTCACTTCTGTACTTCTTGAATGTGTACATTGTTCTTGAACTGTTTCTCTCTTTGCTGGAATCCCTTGCAGCCATTGCTGTTCTCAAGGAAAAGGAACCTGGGTCTTTCATTGTTCGAGACAGTCATTCTTTCCGGGGAGCCTATGGGCTAGCAATGAAAGTTGCCACACCACCTCCTTCTGTGCTACAGTTAAAGAAAGGTACTTCTATATGTTATTAAAAAAACCAATACATAGTAGGTAGTCCTTATTGGTGGGTAGAAATCTGTTGGAATCTTCCCCTCTTCTCATAAGTGCAACTTAAATTGCAGGCTACATTTGATGTGTTGTTAAATGAGCTGGGATACGCTGCCTGTTATACTATATGGTTTCATGATGACTTGTGTGTTGTGGCTGTGCATGTGTTGTAACCCATCAACATAACAAAAAATCAGTGTCATCTCAGCAATGGGTCTTCCCTAGCAATCAGAAGTCTGCATTTGATTCACAGGCTACAGTGTAAAGTTTTCACTCAGCTGGAGGGCTGAATAGTTTAGATCCCAAAGTTTTAGTTTGAGACAGTTATTTTCAGATACAAATCTGAAGAGATTCCTAACATAATTGTTCAAAAGAAGTGGTGATTTATATACCTACTCTGTCAGCTCCAGTGTCTCCATATATAACTCATGCCTGATGGTTGTGAAACATAAAATGAGAAGAACATGCAGAAATCATTATTTGGTATATGGAAACCCAGCAGCCAATATCTGTAGTGTTCTTGGTTCCATTTGTACTACTGCGAGGTTAGTGGAGTGGTTTCTATTGCTGTTTTTCTTTTACAAAGCTTATTATATTTCATTAGTACATAATGACTGGTGAGGTAAACAACTAAGATTACAGGAAAGCATTTATTCTTAGTGCTATTTTTATGGAACTATGGTTTTGGCTATTTTGGTTTCATTTTTTGTTGGTTTGGATTTACTTATTCTGGGGCAAGGTTAGCAGTTCACCTCTAATACAGTGACACTTTGAATCTGTTTTAATCTGCTATCTTGAAACAATTTTTAATAACAGTTTGACATGTAGTCCTTTTTGTTGCCAATCAACATCAGCAGAACCACTCCAATGTTCTACATAATGAATGTAGGTGTACTGGGGTTGTGATAGCAACAACCAGGAGGCAAATGGCAAATTGAAAGTGGCTTGTAGGTGTTTTTAGTAGTCTTCTCTTACAGAAGTAACTGCTGAAGTCCAGGAAGAGACGAAGGCTCATACTCAGCCAGCCTTTCAAAGACAGTTTATGTTACAGTAGTAAGACTGCAGCATTTTTTCACTTCTTACTTCATGATACTTAGCTTTTTTGTTCTCCACTCTTTAATCCCAGAAGGCACAGATTGGATTAGTTTAGTTTACTGTAGCGTTTCTTGTTCCAGGCTTCCCTTTGCCGCATATCTTGTAGCCATTTATTTTTAATTGGGTGAGAGTATAACAGCAAACAGTAAACTGTTTGAAAAAGTGATCAGTGCAATATTTGCTTGTGTGGAAGTTTTTGCTGTCCATATTAATGCATTGATCTGTATTGGCCTGAAAGTCAACCCTTGAGGTATTTCCTCATAGATCAAAGGGAGCTCTTTTGTTAAAGTTTTAATGGTTTGATAGCTTTGTCCTATTGGTCTGAAATAACCTTTTAATTATTTGGAGAAGGATTCGTTTTGTACTCAGGTATGAAATACTGTGAATCCATCTTTCAAGAAATATTTAAGTTGTGTTAATTATATGTCTGCATATATGTGTATGTGTTTAAAAGAATGTTAAATCTTGAGGGAATTTTTACATGTCTCTTGGGCTTTGAATTTCCTCTTTTCATCTAACTACAATTTTGGTTTGTCTTGGATTCCTGAGATTAAAACTATTTTAAAATCTAGTGAAACCTTAGTGCTTCATTTAAATGTTTGTTTCCAGGAGCAGAAAACTGCAGACATTTGGGAATTTAAAAATTCACGGAGAGAATTACCATCATTATCTTTGTATAGCTAAATCTACTCTTATAATCTGGAGAACTTCTGTGAACAGAAATGTTATTGGAAATGGAAATATTTTTTCGTACTTTTACTTTTTTGTCACTTTGGATACAAGTTCTTTTAATGGGCAAGTGCATCCAAATTTCTAACCATTCATTTTCCAAATTTCTGTTCCTGTTTGTAGCTGGGATCATACTTGGACATTTTTGGACACCAGTGTGCATGTCAGTCACTTAAGAATATATAACCATTTCCTTGCTGTGAGCTGTTTTCTATTTGTTTTTGTTAAAATGGCCTTTTAAGTACATTTTGTAACTTGCAGAGTAGGTCTAATTGTATTCTTTGCATTTTGTATACAAAACATTTAGTGGGAATGTGGAATAACTGCTTCATAAAGATCTAGTTTGTGAGACTTGTCTGTTAGTTGCTTCTTTTCATGAATTCTCTTTTTCAACGCAGTTGGAGATTTGTCAAATGAACTTGTAAGGCATTTTCTGATTGAATGTACTCAGAAGGGGGTACGCTTGAAAGGATGCCCGAATGAACCATATTTTGGTAAGTACCGTGCATCACAGAGACAGAGAAAATAGGAGACAATTGGCATTTGCCAGTGCTGACTTGGGTGGAATACAAATGAGAGACTACTTTGTCTGAGTCCTGATGACTTCTGTAGGAACCCATTCCAAGGTTCCAGGAGCCTTTTGCACATTTACATTAAGCAGATGTGCAGGGCACTCCAGCACAGATGCACATGACCAAGCTTCAAACAGTCAAGCTTGTCTACCACTACCAATGTTGCTGCAGAAAGCTGAGCTAAATCTCTCTTATCATCCTAATTGGTTCAGGACCTTTTGTCCTGTGTTATATTTATGCTGCATATAAGGTGGCTAAAAATGACACCAGAGTTCACAAAGTACATTTTGCTATGTCAGCCTACCTAATATAATATGATGGAAGTAACAATGCCTAATGACAAACAGCCAGAGACCTACCTCGCTGTTCACTCATTTGCTTTCCACTCATTTGGGGTAGGAGGGGAAAATAGGATGGGAAGGCTTATGGGTTGAGATGAAAACAGGGAGATGCTAACTAGTTACAGGGCAAAAGAAACTCAACTTGGGAAAATTACTTTAATATTTTTCCAATTAAAATCAATATTCAGGTAGTCAGATGTTGAGGCATACATTCAGTGAAGGTAGCTGGGTTTTCAAGCTGGAAGTGCAAACTGCAGATTGATCTGTGGGTATCCCAGGCAAGAGGCCATGACCTGCTGACCCTTTGCATAACAGAGGGCCCAGGGACCTGTGTGGCCAGGTGACCAGATACTCAAGGGACACAGCAGCAACCAGTCTCCAGACTTTCCTGCCCTTTGACTCTAGGGGTATTTCTCCTTGGAGGCACCCAGTTTGAGGTGTTACTTTGTTATTAAGTTGTTGCACCAAATTAAATTTTTTAAGGATCTGGAAGACTGAGACTCTGCTAAGGGATACCTGGGGTTGAGCTTGTGAGGAAGCATCTGACTTTAAGTGTGGGGTGTGTAGCTGTGAAGGGGCTTTGAGTACCATCTCAGGTAGTGCAAGAGTTACTGCCAGAGTGCCTCCTGGATGGTCAGACAGGGAAGCTTCCTTAATATGAGAAACAAAAAGAAGTATTAAATACCACTTTTCCTTCCCCTTTTCCAAACTCAATTTCGCTGCTTCCTCCCAGACTCCTCATGCCCGCTGCAATGGGTGAGAGGGCATATGGTCATTACAGAACAGTTCCTCTGCTGCTTCATCCCTCTCCCAGTTTTTCCTTCCTGGGATGTGGGCTTTCCCTGTAGGATGCCATCCTGTGGGGGAAAAAATCTGTACAGAGTATGTACAATACAGAGTATGTGCTCTCTGTCAGCCACAGAAAATGTCCCATTTGTTTCAATGTGAGTTCCTCCAGAGGCTGCAGGGTGGGGGATGGCAACTTCCCAGAGCATCTCCTTGTCCTCCTCCTCTGTCCATGGCATTCCCTCTGCTGTGTTGCACCCAGCCTTTGTTCCATAGGTGTCCTGCAGTGGATCTGCTGCAATGGGCTGTGTTTGGCATGAAAAGCCCTGAACTCTACCCAGAGGTTATTCTGCAGCCCTCCCACCCCCTGTTACAGGCCTTGTCACATACACCAAATACACCTGTGAAAGGGTCATCTACCATAAAATTAAGACATATGAAATTAAAGAAGTATTTAAAATAAAGGTGGATTGAAGTTTATCAGTATTTGGTGTGAGACTTACCTTAAATCAGAATTTTTAGTCCATTCCTACATCAATCTTGAAGTACCTGTTTAGGCACCTATATAGCCCTACTAGTCATTTAATTTGAGCATCTAATCTTCAATGTGTACAGCCTGTTCTGGTTTGAAAATAAACCACAGTGAGAGATGAACCCTACAGAAATGCCTTGAGAGCAGGTTGGAGTTACTGTAATATTTTTTATTTAACTCTAAATGCAGCAATACAGAAAAACTGGCTTAAATTCACAGAGTACAGCCTTGCACCCTGTTGGTCAGGGTGGTGGTTGCAGTCTGATTAAGAGGTGGTTGCAGTCCTGTTGAAATGATGACTGCGTACTCGTTGAAAGCGGTGGTCCTGTGAAAGGTCTGGTCCTCCTCTGAGTCTGTTGAGAAATAGTGGTGGTGCCCCGAAACCACAGATGATATACTGTCAGGTTCAGGTGGTACCTCCCTCAGGATGGGGAGTTTCACAATGGAGTGATGTAATGCTTGAGTCACTGCAGTCATTGTCCATTCTTGCTAGGGCCATTGGGTGTCCATGGTGGCCCCTGAGCAGATGACCCCCTCAGGATGGTTGTAGTTACCACAGCTGAGTTAATTGTGAAAACCAGGAAACATTGCCTTGCAGGGTTTGCCTCTTTTCTCTTATCTAACACCCAGCTTGCAGTCTGAGAGGATGGGTTCACACTAGGCAGCTGTTGAAAACTGCCCACTGTTAATACTTCAGGAATTATGTGGATGGAAGTAGAATACATAGCATGGTTACACCCCACCTTGTAACATAGGACACAGCCTCAAAACTGCTTCACAAAGTAGGTGAACAGGCACTATTACACATGTTTATGGGTAAGATAGGGAAGGACTAATAGTATCAATCATTCTGCATTTCTGTAAGACTCTTGTAGAATTGGGTCATCTTTCCATTTCAAAGAAATTTTTGTTGGACTGTGAAGGTGAGGTTGGTTTTGGTTGAAATGGGATTTTTCTCCAACACATGGTTGTGTTTGCTGCTTGTTAGTAAATGGGATTGAAGGATGGCTTCTTGTACAAACAGATTGGTGAATATTATGGATTCCTCTCACTCCTTATAGTCTCACATGCCAATATCAAAGATAACTAATATTGAATTACTTCAGTTAAGCCAAGACCAAATTGCAAGAGTGACTTTGAGTAAAAAAGAAGAGTAATTTAATAGAGAATGCTATATACATCACTGCTGCATTGAACGGAAGAGGTTTTACGTGGTCTATCTTTTATACTTTCAGAAGTACAAAATAAAGGTGTGAGTAGACAGAATGTTAGATGATGAAGTCTAGGTGTCTAAGAGGTAGAACTTGCTTTTTTTTACCTCATTCTGTGGCACAAATGACCTCTTGTGCTCTTACCACCTTTGTAAGAATTTACTACATTTAATGTAGCAGAAGTTAAGAGCGTTGAACAGAATTTACTGACTTCTGTATGTTAATGATTTTGTAATTTTTGTGCTTTCTCCATTTGAAGCACAGACATTTAGGTTAGGATCCAAGTGGTGTCTTTAAGAGGGAAAGGGAACATATGATTGTGATTAACGAGTCCAAGAAGATCTTGGCTTAGGTCCCAAGAGATTTTTAAAGGGAAGCAGAGGGGGCCCTTATCTAAAATACTTGAGAGCAAACATAACTTAAGTGTTCTTGTTGTCTACCAAGTTAACTGTGAATCTCTTGTTACTTTTCTGACCACAGGGAGTTTGACAGCTCTAGTGTATCAGCATTCCATCACTCCACTGGCATTGCCCTGCAAGCTGCTCATCCCAGACAGAGGTATGCTTGTTGAAGTACAGAAGACATATTCCCAGCCAAGTTTTGCTTCAAAGTGTCAGTGTCTGAAGGCAGATGAATGTGTCACAAGTTGAGGTCTAAGCAACAATGTACCATGGAAGAAGCTGTGTTGTTGTCTTCAGTATTGGTGATGACTGTTATCCAAAGTGTGGTTGTGAGCATACTGGTACTGTGTTATTCCAGTCATAAACATATATTCATCATGGAAGTCCATGCAGTAATTCACCATGTGGGGAGACAAATGAACTTCTTAGACATGACACTATGCCAGTATATGGTTAGGTTTAACCACTCATTCAGATCTGGATAGCAAAAGGCCGAGTAGATAAAGAGTAGATGATGCCCTGAGTGTGACACTGGCAGGAAGAGTGTAGCAACTTGCACAGGTTCAGATATTGTTAAAGTAAATGATCAAAAAGCCTATGTTGCTTCATGGGATTATGATTCTAATTTTGTTTATGCTAATTTCATAAACCATTCTAAGATAAAAACCAGAATGCTCATACTTGTCCAGTAATTCAGTTGTCTGATATTATCCCACATGAAGTTAACCCAAGACACTTTGCTGAATTATTAAATGTTCTAGTGGTTTGTGACTTTAAAGGGTTTTTTGAACCCTTTAAACTTTTGTTACAGACTCTATGTTAATGTACAAAAATAGCATTTGATTTATGTGAATACATCAATGAAATCATTTTAGCACAAAAATATGCTTTGGAAGGTGTGAACAAGAGATCTTATTCATTTATATGGCAAAACAGCATGGTGGTTGGCTTTTATCCCCGCACCTAACATGGAAAACTTACTCTGTTCTTCCAGAGGTACAGGACTGGAACATTGCCTTGTCTTGAATAAACATACCACAGTGAAATTTTATTTTGGATTTATTTTTTAATCTGATTTGATCATGCATTTTAAGATGGTCTTCTGTAGTTAATGACAGGATACAGTGCCTGGAGTATTTAAAATGTTTGGACAGCTGTAATTCTAGCTGTATGAATAGAATACAAACTGTATTACGGCTCTCTTCCTCATTTGATTATATTCCAAGACTGCATGCCTCATGCTAAATGCAGCAGTTAAGTGAAATCTTTTTACATGCATTTATATACCTGAAATAACATGTTAGTGAACAGTTTTCTTACTACTTCTAACAATCAGTTGGAAGGCAGATGTTCCACTTCTGTCTTAGTGGTTCAGATGGGGTTTTTTTCAACTTAAGAAGAAAGTTGTGTTGTTGTTGAGAAAGTTGTCATCCCCTGAATCAAAATACAATTAATTGATTTCATCATGGTAACATAAAGCCCTTCTGTATAAATTAGTGTAAATTATAAAAATCGAATGAGATCATTAAAATCACACTGTAGTGAGGAAATATAGCTCTAAGTATTGTCTTAATGTGAGTCCCTCCAGCATATGCCTGTGTTATATCTTTTATTGTCAGGAAATAAAGATTAAGCATCCCGCTAGCAGTGCTTGAGGCAAAAAAAAAAACTGATGCAGCACAAAACCTACATAAATGATTATAATTGCAGATAAAAGGTGGTTTCATGTTTTTGGCCAAAACTGTCCAGTAGATGAGAACACAGTTACAAGTGCTAATTTCATACATGACTGTGGACTTCGATTTGTTGATCAAGTCCATACAAGACACGGACAGTGTTTTCTCTTTGCAGATCCCTTGGAGGAGATAGCAGAAACTTCTCCACAAACTGCTGCAAACTCAGCTGCGGAGCTTCTCAAACAGGGTGCAGGTCTGTTGAACTTTTATCCTTATTTTTGACTCTTACCAAAGTTTGTATCTTACAGGTTAGGAGAAGCTGAAGCTTAGACTGTATTAAAGGACACATAAAAGTAGCAGTTAAATTTATTGTGCTGGGTAGAAGTGTAAAGGGCACAATGAGGATATGTACCAGGTTTTCTCTGTTTTCTGCAAGCAGCTCCTATGTTCTATAACCCTGTGTTTGGTTTCCAGTCATGTGTCTCATGAGAATATGAGGCATACGTAGGTTACTTCAAGCATGGCAATTTTTAAACAGGACACTGACATTACTTTCGTAACTGATAAACTTTGAGAGGGTATTTTCAGCCTGTGGTTGCTGAGGTTCAAGAACTATATATGAGGTCTGCAAAAGCCACCTAAGGAAGGTGTTCAGTTAGGGTTAAGTTCTCATCAGAGGGGTTAACAATACCACTGCAAAAATGCTTACTGTTGCATCAATCTGAAAAGAAATATTAAAGATCAGTTCCCCTTTTTTAACCTGTTTTGTTGTTTTTAAACAAGGATTTGGAACCAAAATAGATGAATTAACTGTGATAAGTTCTCAGAGGGTTTCTTTTTAGCCTTGATACGTAAGGGGTCCCTTTCTAGACACAGAAGCATTCAAGTTGTGGAGTTCAACACTGAAGTGCAGACTCAAAAACATGTAAACTGAGTCCTTTCAAAGAAACTTTAAAGTGGATACACTTTCTTTCTGCCCTTCTATACCCATACTTCTCTCACTCCACAAGCAAAATATTATGTGTTTTCCTAGAATGATTAGTTTTTTATAGCTGCCTGAAAAACCTAATGAGCATTTCTAGGTTCTAAGTGCTGAAGCTGACTAGAAATCCTTTGCTTCTTAGATGCTGACAACTGAAGACTAGAGACCATGCAGATAAGAGGCTTTTCCCTAGAATATACTTTGCTTTATTAATCTTCCCATTCAGCAACAAAATTTTCTGCCCAAATAAATTAGTTCTTAATTTCTCTTTACATTGATACAGTTAAGAAACTTAAGCATTCTGAGAAAAGGACACTTGCAGTATAAAAGCAGCATTGTTAAGCTGGTGCTGGTGGCACTGACGTGCTCCAAAATGTTACCTGTGAAAGACAAGAGTAGCAGCATTGCAGGGTGGCTGCACTGAACGAAAGGTCTTCCTTTTGTTCCAGCTTGGAGTATTGTTCTTCTCCGGGATTACTGTTCTCAATATCTTGTCAGACCATGCATGATGTTCTTAAATGAGAAATCTTTCAGTGTTTCTTGTTACCTTTCCTCTCCTTTTTAAGCTGACACATTTTCACTTTGCAACACTTCAGTAAAAGTTTCCATTTATTATTTCCTGTGCTACAGAAGCAAAAGAATCTACAGTATTGAGTAGCTGCTGTTTGAGCTATCACTTTGAGGGCAATAAAGATAAAATACTTGGAAATTTCATTTAGAAACTAAATCTCAGTCTGTTGACAGCAATGCAGTGTGTGGCAGAAGAGGAATGGATTCTGATCTGTGTGGCTGTGAAAGAAGGGAAGCTTCCTATTCTGAGGAAAGACCCACAGGATAGTGAAGAGCTTTAGATCTGTACCAACCATACGCAGTAATGAGGGGAGAAGAAGAGAGCTTCTGGTTTGGAACGTTAATTACAGTTTTGGGTTGCTACTCATCATCTGAGGTCCCTCTGTGCATGAATTGTAATTGATTCATGCAGAAGTTACTGAAAATTTCACAGCAATGCACAAATATATTTTATAAATGTTACACTTGCAAATCAAATAAATGAAGTCTCAGGATCTCTTCTTTCACTGATGGACTCCAGAGCTTGAAGTAACTGGGCTGATCGTTATGCTGGAACCAATCTTAGGCTTATGCAGTTTTTAACTGTATGATTTCTTGGTTGTTTTGAAAGTGCCCGTGTCTAGCTCAGTAATTTTATGTAGATAGTCACAGGAGAAATCTTAAGACAGATTACAGAATAGCTAAATAAAAAGAGAAACTTTTAGATTTAATTAAATCTTTTCTTCCCTAGTAATGTTGGCAAACCAAGTGAAACTGCTATACAAATGAAATGTAACCATGGCAATTTGTATGTGTCAACTGACAGAGTGGTAAATTTTGTCCTGGATACCTACACAAGTGTTTTTACCAAACACAAAATCTCTTGGTGATAGTGTTTAGCTATGGATGTGCATAATCATTCTTGCTTGTTCTTAATTTGTTTATAAATTTGACTTTATAGCACAGTCCCATAATAAGCATGTGAATAATTCTATTAATTATATATAATAGTTCATACTTCAGATTGCACTGTACTATGTAATATTTTACAGTAGTATGGTACTACTATATAATGCTATACAATATTAATACATATTTTCCTAGTGCTCACTGCAAATTTGATAGGAAACCATGTAAAAAAAGTAACTGGTAGCCCTAGAAGCCAGTGAGCATCTGTTTTTTAGAGGTATTTCAGAAGTTGCTAATAGTATCTCTAGAAGAAGAACAGTACTTCTAGAAGTAAGTGCATGCTGAAATAAAGAAAAGGCCTAAAAATATATGTCAACAATTTTTATCAGTGTGGAAGTTTTACTTGTGCTGAAATAATTAAACATACAGAACACTGTGGAATTAATGAGAAATGAGCATAGAAATAACCATTAGTTCTTTTTGGTGTGTAAACATTCTTGTCTTGCCAATCAAGTGAATGGTTTCCCTTGAATATAGTTCAGATATTTGAAACTGTAGAACATGTGAATGTATGTTGCAAATGTGTACTTTCTTACTGGCTGATGTATTTGAACTTAAAAGCAAAATATCCCCATTCTTTCAGGAATGCCTTTGCTCCAGCACTATCTACAAGTGTACTCTCTGGTGCTGCCTTGTATTTATTGAAATTTCAGGGTATCTATGGGTAATAGATAAATATAGTCATTTGGTTTAGCATAAAAGTATTAAAACCAAAGGGAGAGGAAAAAGCCTATGACTTCTCAAAATTTTTCCCTCTTTCATTACAGCTTGTAACGTTTGGTACCTGAATTCTGTGGAGATGGAGTCACTCACAGGCTACCAGGCAGTACAGAAAGCCTTGAGCCTGACACTGATGCAAGATCCTTCTCCTGTCTCAACTGTTGTCCATTTCAAGGTGTCTGCTCAGGGAATCACACTGACAGATAATCAAAGAAAGTAAGCAAAAGAAGGATGGGAGAGAATATTTGTCCCTGTCCCTGTCAGGTGTTGGCCACTGTTAATTTGACGTTCCTAGTTACATTTTGTAATCTCTTTCTCAGAGGATAGTAGAATTATAGGATTGATGGTGATTGTGTTAAGATGGCTGCAGTACAGGAAAATGTATTTTTTAAGCTGTGGACTTTATTTCCACATGGTGTATTTTACTTTTGGAAGGTCACTTTAATATTACTTTTCTTTTGTTATTTCTTATAAAAAGGGAAAGTAATGGCTCTGCTAGCATTTGATACTGAATCTATACAGTGAAATCATTGATCTTCATGATGTTTTTGACCAGTATCACTGAACAGAGCTGATTTAAGCAGATGATTTGTATCTCCAGGATCTGAAACAGTGTTTTGAATAGCTTGTAAAAAACTGTAATAAAAAGTTAATTTATATTTACTTTGTTGTAAGTGCTAGTTAGGGTACCAGAAACTCTTTCAATTAGAAAAAATTACAATAACAAAGGAAGGACAACAGGAATTCATTATAGGTTAAAAAAAGAAGTGCCAGACTTCTTCATTCCGTGGGGTTTGCAATCATTTGTAGCAGATCACAGAACCTTTACCTTAATTGTAATGCCTAGGAGTGTGAATATTTTGAAACATAATATTATCAAATTATTCACAGGTTCCACAAAGTTGTCAGTCCCACTAAAATAGTATCTAAATGGCCAGTTTTTAGAAAAAATACTTTTCATACTCTTAGCTTGAGAATCAGTTTTCCTTTAGTTCAAAAACTTGATGTTACTGTTTTAAATGCTTATTTATTGCGCTGGAGCAGTTCAGGTGGCTTTCAGAGTCACTCAGAGGTAGCAAAGAATATTGTTTGTATTAAAATAAGACTAAATATAATTTATTTTTTAGATTAGTTTATTGTTTAGAATTGTAAACATCTTTATTGTTTTTGAAATTTGTTTTATTTCTTCCCATCCAGACTCTTTTTTCGGCGACATTATTCAGTCAACACCGTTATTTTCTGTGCCTTGGATCCACAGGACAGAAAGTAAGTATGACAAGCAGTATTTTTTATACGTTATTTGTATTATTTTACAAAAAACCCCAAACCAAAAAAAAGCAAAACTAACATAGGTTTAATTTTCATTTCTCCATTCTGTGTTTTTTTACTGCTTTCTTAATGGACAAGGTGGATGAAAGATGGCCTTTCTGCAAAGTAAGTGGAGTCTCTTTTGAATGTTTTAGGAATATCATTAAAGTGATCAGTTCCTTGATGTTCTAAATTACTTTTGTCTGAGTTGTAGAAGGGAAAGTGGTTGTTCAGAGACAAAAGCCTCTCAGCCCTCTGTAATTATACATTGGTTACTTCATCTACACCTCTTCAAGCTGAGTCTTAATTATGTGGTGTGGTGGTGGGATGGAGCCAGACCTAGCATGGTTTATTTAGATTGCAGAACTGTGCTTTGACTGTGGTTTCAGACATTAGAGATATCTGCCTGCCTCTCAGTTTTGTGTTCCACCTGGCCAGCAAGACTTAACACAAACTTGTCCCACTAAGACTGATAGCTTTAAAAAAATCCCTCCCTTGGTACATAAATGAAAACACTCCTAGTAATACTAGTGTGTGGCATAAATACATGATTACCTGTGGATTGCAAAGTGTTTTCTGTTGAAGGCAGACGTTGTTGTCACTCTTTAATCAAAAGAAATAACTTAGAGAGGCTCAGCACTTGTTTCTGGAAAGGAACAGGAAATAGATAGCTTAAATCCTTTGTCCAATACTCTGTCCACCAAGATGTGTGGCCCTCAAAATCCTCTCTTTGGGCAATCCCTGACATACCACAGTACATGCCCCCCAAACTAGGCAAGAGAACAGCAGTATCGGATCAGGTTAAATATATCTCCAGGGTCAGCAGCGTGTCTCTAACAGCAAACAGTACAGGATGCCATATGGACAGGATAGAAGGAAGGGGATAGTCTCCTCTGATTCTCTTGTGAGTTGGCTGGTCCATTTGGGCTGATGTGTTTAGCAGTCACGTGGAACCTTGTTCATCAGAACACTGAAGTCTGCCATATGTGCTTGGTTTCTGCAGTATTGTTTCTGTTTTATGAAGTGAGGCAATGCCTATCTGTCAGTTCTCTGACATACTGTGATTGCTGCCCTTGCAGAGTGTTTGGGTTCATTGCCAGGAAGCAAGGCAGTGCCACAGACAACGTATGCCACCTCTTTGCGGAACATGATCCAGAGCAACCTGCCAGTGCCATTGTAAACTTTGTATCAAAGGTCATGATTGGATCCCAGAAGAAGATCTGATGCCTTTCCATCCTTGATTCAGAGCTCTTTGCTGACTTCACCAAAGGAAATCACTGTGAGAGGGAGAAAGGCTATTCAGCAACAATATCTGAGTATTGTCATTCCCAGTAAGGAAAGCGGAGGATGATCTGTGTATTGTGTTTGCAAGAGCTCAGGCTTTTATTTCAAGATGCCTCACAAAACATTATTTCTTTGTTTTTATATCAGAGGACAAAACAAAGGAAGCTGCATGCCACCCAAAGCAATGTAGCCCTTACCTGAATGAAGCATAAATGAAGAACTTTTATACTGATGGGTTTCTAATATATCTTCCTATGCTGTTTCTCATAATTTATTGTAGCAGAAATACTTTACTAGATTGCGCTACTTTTTTTTTTCAGAAAGTGTTTTGTAAAACCTCCACAAAGGCACTTGCCATGGTTGCATCAATGGTAGTTATAGGCCTTTCAAATGTGCTTTTAGGAGAGTGATCGTGTGAGGAAAACTATTTGCTCTTCCCTATGTCTTTGTGATCAGTGATGAGAACTGAATGGAGAAAGTGGAAGATGTATGTGAAGAGAAGGTTTGTGCAAGCTGTTTTCTGGGAAGAAAGGAGTGGCAGTGTGGAATATTCAGGATGATTGCTCTGCATTTAGTGTTAGACTGAGCTGTTTTAGTTTGAAAATTTTTCAGTAGAGCAGAAGTGGAAGAACAAAAAATAAGTGTGAAAACCTGTTCTATAATTAGGGCTTTTTTGTATATTTTTTTTAATACAGAGAACTAAACAGGGAAGATTAAGCATTTTAGTAATTACAGGATAAAAATGAGGGAAAAGCAAAGAGGAAGATTGTATAATTTATGCATTTTTACCCATGACAAATTATTTATAGTGGATCTCAGATCTTGGTATGTTATAGAGATAATTCTTAAACTAGATCATTATTGAGCTTTACCTCTAGCACTGTTTTGTGTAAGTGTGTGTGTAGTCTGTGCCTGGCTAGAGACAATAGTCTGGTAGTTTGTCTTTTCTTTTACAGACACTTCCCATTTCCTTTTTCTGCAATACTGTTTCATTCCCCTACATAATATGAAATTATGTTTATGGATTCTTTTACTCCATTATTTTGCTAGAGTTTTGAGGATTTGTTTTACTTTTTTTTTTTTTTTTTTTTTTTTTTTTTTTTTTTTTTTTTTTTAAATCTGTAGGAACTATATTTGATTTGTTATTCCTTAAGGAATATGAAAGTGAATGGAATTTATTTTGTTACTTTTTCCCATTTCTTGAGAGCTTTTATGTCATGATTTCTGCATCTATCACACTTGTACATGTCTCTATCTTTCTTAACACATTGATATTTGAAATGCATAAGAAAGGGCTATTTAGCTTTGTAAAAAATTGATGCAGTGGGTTACAGTGGAAGCCTGTACAAGGAGAATAAGCCACTGAGATCTCCTGTGTAGTTCCCATTCACTCAAAAACCAGACCCCTGTATGAGAACTGATGGTTATAATGTGACTTTAGTGTGGCAAGTGCTGAAAAATTCCGTGCTTCTTTCTTTCTTTCATATGTGGCCGTCAACATCATATTAATAACCTGAGGAATAAAATAACATTCTGTATTTTGCATGTTGATATGCGAGCCACTTTATCCACTTGTAGATTTTAATCCCTTTATTCACCAAATAGATCTACATTTTTCCTGTATAAAATATGGGGTATTTTTAACAGCTCTTTTTGTATTTCCTGAAGTATTAGGACTGGGTTAAACCTTATACAGTGACCATAGCTGAAGTGTTACCAAATTATTTGTGTAGCTACCAATTTTCTGTAAATAACCTTATGCTTTTTAAAAGGAAGGTAATGAGGAAGAGAGAGAGAAGAAATATTTGAAGTTCAATGTATTTGGACCAGAAAGTGGTTTATTAGTAGCAGTGGGCATTGGATATCTGTAGAAGGGTGAAGCAATCCAAAGTGTGGAATTCAATAGCTACCATTGAAGCAACAAAGGCAAGTACCTCTGATTAGTAACATATAAATCTGTTATTTTGGCACAGAAGTATACTACTTAAACAGTGTTTATGTACCATCCAAAAAAAGAATGCAGTTCTTACTTCTAGGAGCTAGCTTTGCTCCTTTTATAAATTGTGAGAACAAATTTTCTTTTAAGATTCTTTTGGTGTACAAAGATTCCAGTTGCCTAATTTCATCACCCTGTTGGAGCCCAGAGAATTTCTTCAGCTGACATCTCAAGTAGATTTAAATCTCCATTAGGTTTTAATCTGATGTGTTGTAAGCATTGAAATGAGGATGATTTTTTTACTGTATTTTTTCACTTCTGTAGATAATAAATTTTAGTGTGTCTTCTTAGACACTAAGTGTTGGCCTTTGGGCTGAAAATAAAATGTCTTTTTTTTCCCATATATTGACATTTCCGTTCAGGACCTTATTTTTTATTCCTTGTGCTTTCTCAAGGTCTGCTGAATTCAAAAGCACGAGGGATTGCATGCTGACACTCCTGGTGGTATTTTCTGGGAGTTTAGCTCTACTTGCTAAGTGGGAAAAAAGAAGTTACCCTGTTTCTAAGGGAGATTTTGAATTTTGCATTCCTTTGGATGGTATATTGCCATGTGCATTTGCTTTTTAATGAATTTAAAAATGTACAAAACAAGATAGTTCAGTATGTATCATTATGTAGTATGTGTAGAAAAATATTCATGGAACTTATGTGTTCATGGCAAATAAAAGATTAATCTTTATATAGCACTTTCTTTCAAGATTTTTGGTAGATGTGTATATGCAATTTCATAACTAATGGCAGCAATTTGACACATATATTTAGCCAGACTCCTGTTAATGTGGTCAGTAAATATACTACTATAATCATACAGTGTTAAACTACAAAAATGCTAAAAGCCACATTTTTAATTAAATGGTTTCACTGTATCCAACAGTATCATGAAATATTTAATGTTTCTTTCTTGGTTTTTTCCTACTCGTGAAAATTTTCACTTTTTTCTTGAAACTGTAAAGAAGCATCTAAAGGTCTTCAGTATATAAATAAATGTTCTATAAATTCTTTTTGTAGTCATTTTCTATGCTCTTCAGATACCGCCTCTTTCAGATTATAATAAAATTACAAATGTGAAATTCCACCACACAGTGTCACAGGGCAGTCTGTTCTGAATGAAAGTTACCTTCTGACATTGAAATCAACTAATAAGCAAAACCTTCTTTGTGAATTAAGAATAATTTGGGTCCTGGGGTTTAGTGGTAAGAAATGTTTGAGATTTCTTTCAAGGACTTCACATGAGCCTGTGTTAGTGGTTGCAGTCAGTTAAAGCATATAATCTTTTCTAGTTAATTTGTGGTTATAATGGTATAAAATTATCTATTGCCTGCACATTACATATTTCAATGTAAGAAGGAAGAATATGATATCATTCTCAGAGATATTGTAACCATTTAACTGTGCCTCCACAGTGCTTACACTGGAAAATATTCCAAAGGGGGGTGAAAAATTTTATCCCTGGCTGAAACAGGTACAAAATCAGTGCATCAGACACACAGTGAAGGTTGTGTTATATACATGCTTTATCAGGATTATTGCTGAGTCTGATAAACTCTGGTATGTCATGCTTACGCCTTTTCTGTGAGGAATACACTGGCAGGAATTTTTCATTCAGTGTGCTTGACTGTCTCACTACAGGCCATTGTGAGGTTTATGCATGGTTGTAAAGTGTCTGTTATTCATGGAAAGTGTTGGTCTTTTATTAGAATGAATTATAATGTGGAACAGATGACAGGGATGCATTGCTGTGTCAAGAGTCCAGTCTCTCCTGTTAAACTCTTGTTCTTGCATGTGGCTGCCATTGTGTATGTGTGCTGCTGTTGGGTGCATTTTAAGGCTGCTCTGGAGTCTCTTTGCCCCACTGGAAGAAAATCTTCTTGCAGGATTCATCCTAGATATATTTACAACTAGTTTATATGCAGTTGTTCTTATGCCAGTGTTCTCCTTAGTATGAATAACTTCTCTCTGTTGAGATATTTTTAGCAGGAGATCTGCTCCCCCTGGTGACCCTCGGTCTTCTTTTGGCAAGGCTAAACAAGTCAGCACTTGGCCTTTATGCATTTTTGTGTTTGAAATACTGTTTTTGTCAGTTACGTAACTTCTTTGGACAGACGTTTAAGTATGCATCCAGACTCTTTATAAAAAGGGGCAGAAGCTGCTGCCGTGTAATTTTTTAAATGTTTGTGTTAGAAGACTCTTAGAACAAGAAAACTTGACCCACCAGATAGGTGGAGTAAATCCCTTATCTGCTTCTGCTCTTGATACCTAGAATTAAGGTTACAGTAGTGTAAACCGTATCAGGCAGGACAAAGGAAGTTACAAGGGCAAATAGCTAAAGAAGTTCTTAAAAGCCAAAGTCAGAAACAGGAAGCTTGCAGGAGACTTAGCACATCTGGCAAACTACCAAAAGGGCAAAGGGGAGCTTTTTAGAGAATTAAAGGATCTTGCTGAATAACTGAGAAGGGATTTGCATTCATGTCACTACAAGGGATATCAAACTGGAACTATTCCCTTCCTTTGAAGACATTTAGTGTCTCACAATGTACCAATATTTGGACCGGTTTTAATGTTTTATTATTTGCAGAATCACAGGGTGGTTGAGAATGGAAAGGACCTAAGGAGATCATCTAGTCCAACTCCATTGTTTAAAGAGCCATTTGCCCAAACATCTTGAATTCACCAGGGGTAGAATCTCCAGTCTCCCTGGTCAATCAGTGGTAGTTCTTAAGTCACCTCACAGTGTTTCTTGATATTTAGAGGTAACCTCCTGAGTTTCAGTCTGTGCAAATCACCTCTTGCCTTGTTATGGGGAAACTCTGTAAGGAGCCTGGCGCTCTCCCTGTATTTATACACATTGATGAGCTGCCCCTGAGCTGCCTTTGCCAGGCTGCACAGCTTCCACAGGTTCAGTTTTATGTCATTGACAAACTCACTGAGGGTACACTCTTCCTGATCATCCATCCAGATCATTGATTAACATGTTATAAAGGACTGGACCCAGTATGAAGCCCTGGGGTAGACCACTAGTTACTGGCCTCCAACTAGACCTTGTGCTTTCACAGCACTGTCAGTGCTCAGCTATCAGGCAGTTTTCAATCCGCTTTACTGTCTGCCCATCTAGCTACACTGACAGCTTGTCTTTGAGGATGTTATCCAAGACAGTGTCAAAGGCTATACTGAAGTCCAGGAAGGCAATATCTACTGGTTTCCCTTGAGCCAAGCCAGTCATTTCACCACAGAAGGTTGATCAGCAATGACTTCCTCTTAATGAAGTTATGCTGACTCCATGGATGTAGTCAGAGGGCTGGAGCACCTCTTCTGTGAAGACAGGCTGAGTGAGTTTGGATGCTTTAGCCTAATAAAAGTGAAGGCTCCAGGGAGACCACAGCCTTCCAGTACTTAAAGAAGTCCTACAGAAGATGAGGAGGGACTCTATCAGGCAGTGTAGTGATCAGATGATGGGTAGCAGGGTAATGGTTTTAAACTGAAAGAGGGTAAGTTTAGAAAAGGAAATTCTTTGAGTCAAAGGGTGGTGAGGCATTGGAACAGGTTGCCCAGAGAAGCTGTGGATGCCCCATCCCTATCTACAACCATTTGTATCCAGTCTAATTTAATCTAACTTTTGGATTTTTTTTTGTTGCCAC